CACCTATCCTGTCAACACGCCCATTTGGAAGTCCATTAGGTACCTCAACACGTCCCAAAACAAACTCCTGATCCCCCTCATCCCTTGTAATCTCAATAAAGGAACACTTCATCTTGGCAGATTCTCAGATCAAAAAATCTTGCAATCATTTTTGACTTCTCCCTCCCAACACCCAATCCATCAGCAAATTCTGTCAGCCCTACCTTCAGAATATATGCAGATTCTAAACACGTCCCGCCACCCCCACTGCTACCACCCTCATAAGAGCTACCATCTCTCTTTTGAATCATGTAAAAAAAAATCTTTTGCTTAAAATTTTTTTGAGGTGAAAGCCACATATAAATTAACCACTTTAAATGGCACAATCCAGAGATATTTAGTACATTTGCAATATTGTGAAAGCATCATCTCTATTGAGTTCCAAAATGTTTCGTCATCCCCAGAGGAGACCCCACACCCATTAAATGGTGACTCTGCATCCTTATGCCCGTCCCCCAGCTCCTGGAATCACTAATCTGCTTTCTGCCCCTGTGGATCTGCCTACTTTGGACATTTCGTATGAGTGGAATCACACAATATTTGACCTTTTGTGTCTGGCTTCTTTCGTTTAGCATAATGGTCTCAAGGTTCATCTATATTGTAGCATCCATCAGAACTTTATGTTTTTTTGTGGCCAAATAATATTCCATTGTATAGCTATACCACATTCTGTTATCCATTCATCCATTAATAGACATTTGGGTTGTTGCCACCTTTAGGCAATTCTGAATGGTGCTGCTATGACTGTGTATGTACAAGTATTTGTTTAAACATCAGTTTTCAGTTCTCCTGGGTGTATACGTAGGAGTGGAAACACTGGGTCATATGGCAATTCTATGTTTAACTTTCTGAGGAATTGCCAAAATGTTACCTCATTTCAATTATTTTAACAGCCTATTTTTGACACAACCACCAGCAGGACCACGTAAGGCATGAGTAAAGTTATGCTCCTGCTGCCCTCCTCCATTGGGTCTCCTCCCATTCGGAGCAAAACCCGAAGATCTCATCACAATGGCCTACAGGACTGGGCTTCTGACCGCCTCCCAGACACCTTCTACCACACTTCCATTCACTCAGATTGGCCTCCTCACTGTTTTTTTTTTTTTTTTTTTTAAATATATTTTTATTGATTTCAGAGAGGAAAGGAGAGAGAGAGAGAGAGACAGAGAGAGAGAGAGAGACATCAATGATGAGAGAGAATCATTGATTGGCTGCCTCTTGCACTCCCCCTACTGGGGATTGAGCCCGCAACTGGGGCAAGGTGCCTTTGCCAGAATGGAACCTGGGACCCTTCAGTCTGCAGGCCGACACTCTATCCATTGAGCCAAATCAGCTAGGGCCTCACTGTTCTTTAAATGCATCAGCATGTTCCCACCTCAGAGCCTTTGCATTCATTGTTTCCTTTTTCTGGAATGCTCTACTCCTGCACCCAGGAGGCTGGCTCCTTCACTGACTACAGGTCTCTGCTCTAAGTCAGCTTCTCTGAGATGCCTTCGCTGACCAGCCTGTCTCCTTTATTCGGCTTTATTTTATCCCCAAACACTTATCTTCATCTGACATTTTATTTATTTATTTATAGTTTATCTCCCTTTCAGCAGGTTATGAGCTTTTTCTATTTGTTCATTGATACACCCAGAACCCTGGAAAGTTCCTGGAACTTGGCAGGTGCTCAGTAATGTTTGATGAATGAATGAATGAATGAATTGAACTCTATTTATAGATAGAGAAAAGTGAAGCCCACAGAAGATGCACCATTGGTGGGAGTGCCCCCAGCTGGTCATAGGAAGCACTGGGTTCTTTTCCAGGTCTCTCTGACTGCAAAGCTCAAGTTCTTCTTTTTTTTTTTTTTTTTAATATATTTTATTGATTTTTTACAGAGAGGAAGGGAGAGAGATAGAGAGTCAGAAACATCGATGAGAGAGAAACATTGATCAGCCGCCTCCTGCACATCCCCCACCGGGGATGTGCCTGCAACCCAGGCACATGCCCTTGACCGGAATCGAACCTGGGACCTTCCAGTCCACAGGCCGAAGCTCTATCCACTGAGCCAAACCGGTTTCGGCAAGTTCTTCTTTTAATAGTGATATGTGTGTGTTTTTTTTAAAAATATTTTTTTATTGATTTCTTTTTTTTAGAGAGAGAGAAAGGGAGAGAAAAACATTGAGTGACTTCCTGCATACCCTACTGGGGCTCAAGCCCGAAACCCAGGCATGTGCCCTGACCAGGAATCAAACCAGTGACTTCTTGGTGCAGGGGACAATGTTTAACCCACTGAGCCACCCAGCAGGGCCAACGCTCAAGTTTTTAACTGGACTATTTTGTGACTTTTATATGTAGGTCTCATCACAACCCTAAATGTCAGTCTGTCATCAATACTCAATTCATAGGCAGGAAAACTCATACCCAGAGAGGAAAGGGGGCCCCGAAACCAGTTGGTGGAAATGGCACGGCTGGCTATTTTGCCTCAGGGTAGGATTTCCGGTACTAGCTTCTGGCACTCACTGGTAACTCAGGAAATGCACCATGACTGGTTCAGGGTGGGTTTATAGTAAAGCTCAGGTAAGCTTCCGGGCCCACGATTGGCATAAGCCAGTGATGGCGAACCTATGACACGCGAACTCATTTTTTTGGTTGATTTTTCTTTGTTAAATGGCATTTAAATATATAAAATAAATATCAAAAATAGAAGTCTTTGTTTTACTATGGTTGCAAATATCAAAAAATTTCTATATGTGACACGGCACCAGAGTTAAGTAAGGGTTTTTCAAAATGCTGACACGCCGAGCTCAAAAGGTTTGCCATCACTGGCATAGACCCTTCCAAGACCCTACTGATATGATCTTATGGTCTCATTTAAAGGAGGACATTTAAAATGCAACTGGTTGCTACCACTGTCTTTTTCCAGTTCCCTTCCCCCTGTTGCACTTCTCTTTACCATGGTGGCGATGGAGTAGTCAGGCATTTATGGGACCTCACTGGGGGGTATGGGGTTTGAGGATACACTGAGTTTTGTGGGTTATTTGGTGGGGTTCAGAGACATTTTCAGGTAGACTTAAATGACCTACTGAGTTTCTTGGTGTAGGAATGGCTTCCAGGAATGCTCCTAACGTCCAGGGTGCTAGCTCACTAGATGCAAGGCCTCAGTCTACAGTGGCATGACCTGTCCTATAAGTGTCTCACTCCAGAAGCACCTCACAGGGGAGTTGAGTGAATAATTAAAAGGAATGAGCCAAGCCCTAGCCAGTTTGACTCAGTGGACAGAGCTTCAGCCTGCAGCCTGAAGGGTCCAGGGTTTGATTCCCGTCAAAGGCATGTACCTCAGTTGCAGGCTCCTCCCCGGCCCAGGCCCTGGTGGATGTATTTCTCTCACATCCATATTCTCTGTCTTTCCCTCTCTCTTCCACTCTCTAAACATCAATGGAAAAATATCCTCGGGTGAGGATTAAAAAAAAAAAAGGAATGAGCCAGAAGCCAGTCTGTGGAAACATTTTCCAGAACTTCCAGCTAACAGATGAGTTAAAGTTCACGAATGTTTTCACGAATTTCCTGCAAATTTAGATGACATCACCAATGCTGACTTGTGAAGCTGAAATTCTGCCCTACCCGGGTTGGCTCAGTGGATAGAGCATCGGCCTGCAGACTGAAGGGTCCTGGGTTTGATTCTGATCAAGGCACGTGCCTGGGTTGCAGACTCAATCCCCAGTGGGGGGCGTGCAGGAGGCAACCGATCAATGATTCTCTCTCATGGTTGTTTTATCTCTCGCCCTCTCCCTTCCTCTCTGAAATCCATAAAAATATATTTAAAAAATTCTAATGACTAAAAAAAGTTCCATCAAATATGCTAGAGGAAGGAAAATGTGCTTTTCTCGCTGGAGATAAGGATATTGTGAAATAAGTATATGAAGCCAAAAAAGTAGGAAACATATCACAGAGGTGTGTCAGGCAGTAAATTAATAAAAAAACATTACGCTATCATCTTTTGGGATTTAGCAATGTTTGCGGTATTTGTCAGCTTAAAAAAAAAAAAAAGGATTCTAGAGAGAGGAAAAGGGAGAGAGAGAAAGAGAGAGAGAGAGAGAGAGAGACATGTGAGATAGAAACATCAACCGGTTGCCTCCCCTATGCTCCCGACCAGGGCCACCTTTCCGTGTACCGGATCACGCTCCAACCACCTGAGCCATATCAGCCAGGGCAGCTCTTTTAAATATGCAATTTGTTATTATTTCATGTTCGAAGTAAATTTGCATGTTCACACACATGCTGTGTTTGTGATTTTTGTGTTCCTTAAAGAACAATCCCCTCCCCTGCTCCTTCACCGCATTCTATAAGCTGTGTCCGCCCTTTGATGCCTCATTGGCTTGAAACAGGTGTTCTCCAGCTGTGAGGTCCCCAGGCAGCGGCTGCACTCTTTTGAGCCTGTTCCTTTAGTGGCAAAATGGGGATTACAATAGCCCCTCCATTGCAGGGTTGCTAACTTTAAATAAGCCAAGGCCCACTAAGTACTTAGTACAGGCTTGGGACACCCTGAGCGATGACAAATGTCAACCAGTCTTTCTTATGCTAAGAGCCCTTTCCGCAGCTTTCAGACTACCGCCAAGATCTCCCCTTGCGCATGCGCGTCCGCCTCCCCCGCCACCCGGGCCCGCGGCTCCCCGGCCTTTTATCCCAGTGGGCGCGGCCTACTCTCTCGCAGGGGGTGATGGGCGGGGTCAAGGGACTCCTTCCGGGATTTCCCTCTCAAAATAACAAAACCTCTTTGTATGACGGGCAGGAAGGATTAGCCAGTGGAGATCGGAAAGGAGACCAACAAGCCCACCCTCTTCCGAGTTGGCCAATTGCAAGCGTTGGGGGGCGGGTTCTTCTCTGGGGCGGGACAGAGTGACGGGCGTCTGCTTGACTAATGGGGACTTGGCTGTGAGGAAGCCAGAGCCAATCAGAAGTGAGAAAGCCTGATCCCGGGGCGGGGCTGGAGCTTCGGCGGTTGAACCGCTCGCGCCGAGGGGTGGCGGCGGAGAAGGTGAGCGGCGCGGAGAGCGGCGGGTGCGCGGGCCGGGTTGGCGATCCTGGGGGGAGGGGGTGCTCTTGGGGAGAGTGGGCTGCGGCAGGCAGCTGACCCCGCTTGTGTGGGAATCGGGAGGGGGGTGCCCTTTAACTCGGGTGGGCGCTTTAATGAGGGCGCTGAGGCGGAGGGCAGCTTGTGAGTCGGAGGATGTTTTGTGTTTCGCGGGAGGATCTTTAATGGGGAACGTGTGTAAAGCAGGAGGCAGCAGATGGTAAACTATGGGAATGCCCTGGTAATACAGCCTTGCGATCTCCTGGGCGGTTTTAAGGCAGAGGGTTATTATTGCACAGCTATGGGGGGCGGAGGCCCCTGCGATGAGGTACAGGCTTTGATTGGGGTGCAGGGCATATGCAATATTGAGGGGAGCGGGAGCGAGGCCTCCGGAGACCAGGGTGTGCTGTAATGAGGAGGCACAGCCTTTCCTGAGGACTGAGCATGTGCAAGGCGCCTACCGAGTGTGTCATGCGAATTAACTCCTTAAACTTTCTAACAACCCTACTGAGGTTAAGGCTTTGGCTTTGGGTTGCTTGAGCTTGAATCCTGGCTTTGCCACTGGCCCTGCCCCTGAACCATAATGTGTCTCGGGCGAGTGATTCACCCCGTTGTGCCCCAGCTCCATCATGGGTAGAATGACCTCTGCTCTGACTGTACCTGGCCTCACGCAGCTTTTGGGGTTCAGACAGTCTTTATGGGGACACTGGGGGCCTGGTGCACAAAATTTGTGCATGGGTAGGGTTCCTATGCCTGGCTTGTGATCAGGGCTGATCTGCAGAGCCACCGGTGGAGTGATGGGTGCCCCTCCCCTGGGCACCGCCTTGGCTGGCATGGGAGCTGGGGACAGCTCCTGCATTGAGCATCTGCCCCCTGGTGGTCAGTGCACATCATAGCGACCTATTGTTCCACAGGTTGTTCAGTGGTTCGGTCTATTTGCATATTAGACTTTTGTTATATAGGATTTTATTTCCAGTCTGGCTTGTCCGCGGTGAAATCCATATCCAATGGCCGACTCTTTTCGACTTGCAAGTCCCAGTTGACAAGCAGACCTGAAAGACCTGTCCCAAACCGAACTCAGGGTTTCTCCCCCTTCAACCTCCAAACCCCGTTTGCGGCATTTCCGTTTTTCCAGGAACTCGGGACAAAAACCTGGGAGTTCCCGTCACTCCGCCTTTTTCTCAAAGCGCCCACATATGCTTTGTGGGTCAGCAGATCTCATCCGCTCTACTTTCAAAACACACCCAGAACCCAGCCACCTCTCACCACCTCCCTCGCTGCCACGCTGGCCTAAGCCCTCACCTGTTCCTACTTGGTCTGTTGCAGTGAACTCACTGGGATCCCTGCCTCTGCCCTTGACCCCATGTTTGGGGGAGGGAGGGGCTGGTTAAAACAAGCCGGTCCATGTTGCTCCCCTGTTCAGATCCTCCCGAGTCTCCCGCCTCCCGCAGAAGTCCTTGCCAAGCCCACAAGGCCCCACGGATGCAGCTCCCCTCCTCCCTGCCCTCAACTCCTCCCACTCCCTGTTGCTCCCCCTGCCTCAGCCACCCTGGCTTCCTCGTGGTCCCTCAGACCTGGCAACTACAATCCCACCTGGAGAACGTGCCTGCTGTCCCCTCTGGATCGTGTTCTCCCCAGATGTCTAGCTAGATGGGCTCTCCCTCCCCTTCTTCAGGTCTCTTCAAACGTCAGCTCAACGGGCCCTCGCTGACCAGCCAAGCTAAAACCATTCTGTCACTCCTGGACCTTCACCACTTGGTCTGAGTTTTCTTTGTAACATCACCACCTGACATATGTTAGTGTTTTTTGAATATCCACTGGGATTCTTTTTATTTTTTTAGTTATTTATTTATTCCCTTTTTAAAATTGTATTTATTGAGGCAGCATCTACACTAATAAACGGGTAATATGCTAATTAAACCAGGTCGACCAGACATCTTCCTGTCATCTAGTCCTCCTGGACAAAGCCGTGGTGGCAGGGGTCCAAGGCAGAGGCGGTTAGGGGTGATCAGGCAGGCCGGGGTGGGTGGTTAGGGGTGATCAGGCAGGCAGGCAGAGGGGTTAGGGGTGATCAGTCAGGCAGGCAGGTGAGCAGTTAGGAGCCAGTGGTCCTGGATTGCGAGAGGGATGTTCAACTACTGGTACAGGAACCAGGCCTAAACCTGCAGTCGGACATCCCCCGAGGGGTCCCGGATTGGAGAGGGTGCAGGCTGGGCTGAGGGACCCCCTGCCCGTGCACGAATTTTGTGCACTGGGCCTCTAGTTGGTTAATAAAATTATATAGGTTTCAGATGTACAGTTCTATAATATATCATCTGTATATTGTGTTGTGTAGTCACCACCCAAAGTCAAGTCTCCATCACCATTTATACCCCTTTTACCCTCTCCCACCCCCCTTTCCCTCTGGTAATCACCATACTATTGTCTTTGAGGTTTTTCTTTTCTTAATCCCTTCACCTTTGTCACCCAGCCCCTGTCCCCCTTCCCCTCTGACAGCTGTCAGTTTGTTCTCTGTATCTATATGAGTCTGTCCCTATTTTGTTTATTTTGTTTGTTAGATCCCACATATAAGTGAAATTATATGGTGCTTGTCTTTCTCTGACTGATTTATTTCACTTAGCATAATGCTCTCCAGGTCCATCCATGAAGTCATAAAGGGTAGGGTTTCTTTCTTTTTATGGCTGAGTAGTATTCCATTGTATAAATGTACTACAGCTTTTTTATCATTTATTTAAAAAATTTAATATATTTTTATTTATTTCAGAAAAGAAGGGAGAGGGAGAGAGAGACAGAATCACCAATGATGAGAGAGAACCACCGACCGGCTGCCTCCCACACGCCCCACACTGGGCACCCGGGCACGTGCCCTGACCAGAATCGAACCACAACCTCCTGGTTCACAGGTTGATGCTCAACCTCTGAGCCATGCAGGCCGGGCTCCACTCATCTATTTTTGGACACGTGGGCTGTTTCCAAATCTTGGCTATAATAAATATCACTGCAATGAATAAAATGAAATGCCTAGGAATAAATTTAATCAAGGTACATATATTCTTTTGAATCACTGTTTTGGGTTTCTTCGGATATAATCCCAGAAGTAGAATTGCTGGGTCGTAAGGCAGTTCTATTTTTAATTTTTCGAGGTAACTCCATACTGCTTTCCACAGTGGCTGTACCAGTCTGCATTCCCACCAAATAGGAGGGCTCCCTTTTCTCTGCATCCTCACCAGCACTTGTTGTTTGTTGATTTAATGGTAGCTATTCTGACAGGTGGGAGGTGATATCTCATTGTGGTTTTAATTTGCATTTCTCTGATGATGAGTGACATTGTGCATCTTTCCATTTGTTTATTGGCCATCTGTATGTCCTCTTTGGAGAAGTGTCTATTCAGGCCCTTTGTCCATTTTTTAATTGGATTGTTTTCTTGGTGTTGAGTTTTTTCTTTTGTTTCCCTTGCCCTCCTAGGAGATATATCAGAAAAAATATTGTTATGAGAAATGCCTGAGATTTTCCTGTCTTTGTTTTCTTCTAGGAGTTTTATGGCTTTAGGTCTCACATTTAAGTCTTTAGTCCATTTTGAGTTTATTCTTGTATGTGGTGTAGGAAGGTGGTCTAGATGAACTTTTATTGCACGTATCTGTCCAGTTTTCCAAACATCATTTGTTGAGCAGACTACCTTTTCCCCATTGTATTCTTGCCTCCTTGTCAAATATTAATTGACCATAAAGGCATGGGTTGATTTCTGGGCTCTCTATTCTGTCCCATTGATCTATAAGTCTTCCTTTTTTTTTTTTTTTTTTTTTTTTTTAAATTTATTGCAGAGAGGAAGGGAGAGGGAGAGAGAGAGAAACATCAATGATGAGAGAGAATCATTGATTGGCTGCCTCCTGCATGGCCCCTGCTGGGGATTGAGCTCACAGCCTGGGTATGTGCCTTTGACTGGAAAGGAACCCGGGACCCTTCAGTCCACAGGCTGATGCTCTTATGCTCTGAGCCAAACCGGCTAGGGCTGTATGTCTGTTTTTATGCCAGCGCCATGTTGTTTTGATTATTGTGGCCTTATAATATAGTTTGATATCAGGTAGTGTGAGTCCTCCAACTTTGTTCTTCTTTCTCAAGATTGCTGTGGCTCTTCTGGGTCTTTTGTGTTCCATATACATTTTTGGAATATTTGTTCTAGTTCTGTGAAATATGCCATTGGTATCCTGATAGGAATTGCGTTGAATTGATAGATTCCTTTGGGTAGTATGGCCATCTTAATGATGTTCGTTCTTCCTATCCATGAACATGGTATCTGTTTCCACTTGTATCTTTAATTTCTTTCTTCAGTGTCTTATTATTTTCCGAGTACAGATCTTTTATATCCTTGGTTACATTTATTCCTAGGGGTTTTATTTTATTTCTTGATGCAGTTGTAAATGGGATTGTTTTCTTTCTTTCTTTCTTTTAAAAAATATATTTTATTGATTTTTTTACAGAGAGGAAGGGAGAGGGATAGAGAGTTAGAAACATCGATGAGAGAGAAACATAGATCAGCTGCCTCCTGCACACCCCCTATTGGGGATGTGCCTGCAACCAAGGTACATGCCCTTGTCCGGAATCGAACCTGGGACCTTTCAGTCCGCAGGCCGACGCTCTATCCACTGAGCCAAACTGGTTAGGGCTGGGATTGTTTTCTTATAGTTCGTTACTGGTGTATAAAAATTCACTGATTTCTGGATATTTATTTTGTATCCTGCTACTCTACTGGATTCATTTATCAGTTCTGTAGTGTTTTGGTGGAATCTTCAGGGTTCTCTATATACAGTATCATGTCATCTGCAAATGACAGTTTTCCTTCTTCCTTTCCAAGTTGGGTGCCTTTTATTTCTTCTTCTTGTCTGATTGCTGTGTGTGGGCCAGAGTGGGGCTCTGGGGTGTCCACACCGAGCACAACGTTCAAGTGTTGACGTTGAGGGTTGGGAAGAATGAGCCCTTGAAGGCTTGGCTGGGATGGGCGTCTGGAAGCTGGGAGAGACTTGGGGCTGGAACAAAACCAGCCACCAGGTGGGCCACTGGTCACGGAGCACGGATGGAGGATGCAGGTAGAAGCGTAGGGTCAGTGGGGGCTAGGGGGACGGAGAAGGGAGGGAGGGGCTCTGGCCAGGGAATCCCAGGCTGGGGTGGGTATGTTCAGGGTGGGCGGGGTCTAGGGCAGGGGGGCGAGGAGGGAGGGGGGACAGGTCCAGCACTGCATGGCACCCACATTGGGGTCCAGGGGATGAGTGATACGTTGAAATGTGGAGTTGTAGGGACCTCTGAACTGCCCAGAGGATGAAAGCACAATTGCAAGAGTCAATTTTCCGGGGAAAGAGGTCTCCAGATTTTAGGAGCCCCTCCAAGACCAGAGACCCCTCTGCTAATGAAGTCAAGAGCTTGGGTCTAGCCCTGACCGGTTTGGCTCAGTGGATGGAGCGTCGGCTTGCGGACTGAACGGTCCCAGGTTCAATTCTGGTCAAGGGCATGTACCTTGGTTGTGGGCGCATCCCCAGTAGGGGGTGTGCAGGAGGCAGCTGATCGATGTTTCTCTCTCATTGATGTTTCTAACTCTCTATCCCTCTCCCTTCCTCTCTGTAAAAAATCAATAAAATACATTAAAAAAAAAGAAAGAGCTTGGGTCTAGGGACAGGTGCCTGTGAGGACATGTGGGGCTCAGACAGTTGTCATTGGGCCTTTGAGGAAGGGGATCTGTAGATGAGAGCCTGGAAGCAATGTTCTTGGCCCCTGAAATTAATTGCAAAAGTTATGGGCCTGTTCATTTATCTGGGGGGCGGGGGCGTGGGGTGGTAGTGGGTAGCGGGTGGAGGGGTGTGTGTGTGTGTGTGTTCAGAGATCTCATTAGTTTCCAGGGCTGTAAAAAGTTAAAATCACTGACCTAGTGTTTCAGGGCTCATCTCTTTCTCCCTCACAATATGACCTCTCCCGATATCAGACTTTGGGGAGGAGCTGCTGGGGAAAGTGGGAGGACTGAAGGAGGGGATGGGGAGCAAAGATCAATCAGGAGGGTCTGCATGAGGGGGGTTGAGGACAGCCCTGGGCGGCCCTGTCTTTGGAGCAGCTTTGGGACTCTGGACAGGGCGCTTTTTCCTCTCTGAGCCTCAGTTTCCCTGTCTGTACCCTGGGGAGGGAATGCACTTGCCTTGTCTCTATAGTCCCTTTCAAGCTCAGAAACAACGAAGCAATAATGATCATGATGACGATGACGATGCCAGTTTGTATTGAGTGTTTGCTGTGTGTCAGGCATGGCCCAGTTTCTCCAAGGATTTTACCATGATTCATTCACTTCACCCTTCACCAGTCTAAGGAGATGGGCAGAGTTTTCCCGCCTAGTTGTCCTGCATGACTGTCATCTGGCACGTTCACCCCTGCCCTCATCACTTACCCTCTCCCTCCCTCAGGTCGCCCTCCTTGCTGTTCTTAGAACAAACCAGGAACTACTCACCTTGGGGCCTTTACTTGGCTGTTGCCTTGGCCTGGACACTTCCCCAGCTATTCACCTGTCCCCCCCTCCCTCCAGGCCCTGCTCAGAGGGCCTTCCCTGGCCACCGGAGCCAAAGGAGCAACCCCACCCTAGCATTCCCTTTCCTCACTACCTGACCTTTCTTTACCTCTGACTGTTGCCACCCCCCCTGACAGTAGGGCCATCATCTGATCCCGAGATCCCCAGCACCCAGGGTGGCACCTGCTTTAAAGATAAGGAATCTGGCTCCAAGCGAGGTTAAGTCACTTGCTCATGTCCCTGCACAGCTCGCCTGGAGTGGGTCCAGGCAGCCCGGGCCGCCTTTGTGATCCAGCCCCAGAGACAGGCGGAGGCGGAGGCCTGGCTCTCTCTTCCAGCTCCGACCGCGAGCTCTGCGGCTGAGGGAAGGTGCTTATGCTTACAACAGACTAACTAATAAAATCAAGTTTTAACTCACTGTGCACGACTTAGTGTTTCATTGATAATATGAAGCACTGGCTGTTCTCTCCACGGGGACCTCTCCCTGGGGAGTCACATCGCCGCCCCTGCCCTCCTTCAGTTCCCTGCTCAAATGTCGGCTTCTCACGGAGGCCTGCCCTCACCCCTGTTTGAAATCTCTGCTCCGCCCGACCTCAATACTCTCCGTCCCCTTTCCAGCTGGAGTTTTCTCTGCAAATGTTTGCTGAATGAATGAGTGAATAATAAAAAAATATTTAATGAGCGTAAGGATTAATAAATAATAGTATTAATCATGATTCTCTTGTTGGAAATCATATATTCTATCAGCCAGCATGATTTGGGCATCATAATGTGCAGGGCACCGTCTCAGTGCTTTTATGTGTATTGTCCAATTTAATCCTCACGTCAACTCTATGAGGTTGGTGCCGTTTTATACCCATTTTCCAGATGAGGAAATGGAGGCAAAGTCTCCTTCCTAAGGTGCCACGGCTGGTAAATGGTGGAACCAGGAAATGAGTGCTGACTGTCCGGCTCCTGAGCCTGGGCTCTCAGCCCCTCTGGGTCTGTCTCCTTCCCTTCTCCAGCGACACTGGCCATGGACCAGCCGGCCGGCCTGCAGGTGGACTACGTCTTCCGGGGTGTGGAGCACGCCGTGCGGGTGGTGGTGTCGGGACAGGTGCTGGAGCTGGAGGTGGAGGACTGCATGACGGCTGACCAGTGGCGGGGCGAGTTCGATGCCAGCTGTGAGTGTGCCTGCCGGGGGGGCTCGCCTGTTCTTCCCCGGGATCAGCTTCTCCTAGACGATGAGGCCGTTGGCGTCCTGCCCCCCTGCCCCTGGGGCCTGACCAGAAGCTCTAAGGTGGGTGGGGGCGTAGGGCTCCTCCCTCGGCCGGAGGCACTGGAGTCGGGGAAGTCAGGAAGCCTGGATGCGTCGCCCTGGGATGGGCAAGTGTCAGAGCTCAGGAAGGACTTTTCTCCCACCCAGTCATCGAAGACTTGACTCACAAGACAGGGAACTTCAAACAGTTCAGCATCTTCTGTAACATGCTGGAGTCGGCCCTCACCCAGGTAGGGACCAGCGTGGGGGCCGGGGGAGAAGCCCATCTGATGTAAGACCTTCTCTCTTCTCTTTCATTGAGGGGGCGGGGCTATCGTTTTCTCTTCTTTCCCAAATGTAAATGGCTTTTTTTTTATTCTAATGAGAATTATTCTCATGTAGAAGATTCAGATCACAGAGAAATGTAAAGAAGAAAGAAAGAAATCACTCCTAATGCTCCTGGTAATATTTTGGTGAAAATGTGGTCATTTCTTCATTTCTCTATTCATTTGTGAATCTGTGTGTGTGTGTGTGTGTGTGTGTGTGCGTGCATTTACATATCTACAATTATACAGGGTGGGGCAAAAGTAGGTTTACAGTTGTGAGTACGCAAAACACAGAGTTTATTCTTGTATTATTATCTATTAATTATTGTATTATTTTTCATACAAACAACTGTAAATCTACTAGTACTTTTGCCCTCTATATAGTTAATCCTCGTCCAAGGATATTTTTCCATTGATTTTTACGGAGGGTGGGAGAGAGAGGGAAAGACAGAGAGAGACATCGATGTGAGAGAAACACATCGATTGGTTGCCTCCTGCATGAGCCCCGAGCAGGGCCCGGGCCAAGGAGGAGCCTGCAACTGAGGTACGTGCCCTTGACCGGAATTGAACCCGGGAATCTTTGTTCCTCAGGCTGATGCTCTGTCCACTGAGCCAAACCGGCTAGAGCTAGTTGATATATTTCCCAAGGTATTCTCTAACCTGCTTTTGAAAGATTCAACAATATTTCATAAAAACTTAGTTACATTAGTGAATATAGCTAATCATTCATTTCATTGAACTGCTGTTGGCATGGGGATACAACAGTGAACAAAAAAACAAAGTCCCTGTCTTCATGAAGCTGACATTCTAGTGGGAGAGACAGGCAACTATATAATATATATAGCCCTAGCTGGTTTGGCTCTGTGGGTAGAGCATTGGCCTGCAGACTGAAGGGTCCCAGGTTCGATTCCAGTCAAGGGTACATGCCTGGTTTTCAGGCTCAATCTCCAGAAGGGGGCGTGCAGGAGGCAGCCAATCAGTGATTCTCTCTCTTCGATGTTTCTATCTCTCTCTCGCTCTCCCTTCCTCTTTGAAATCAATAAAAATATATTTTAAAAAATATATAATGTCAAGTAGTTAAAAGTAGTACTAGAAAAAAAAGCGCTGGTTGAAACTTAGAGTGACAAGGGAATGCTATTTAGGTGTCACTTTAAAATGGCTAACAGGAAGCTGCTGGGTTCTCCCCCGTGTTCAGTATGTGGAGAAAAATCTGCCTCACGTGGGTGTGTGGTTCGAAAGGGAGTCCTTTCATAGTTTTTTTCAGATAATTGTGCTTATCTTTCTTAGCCAACACATTAACACTGGACAGGTGGTGCTTTCTTTTCTTTTATTCTTTTAAAAAAATCTTTGTTGTTGAAAGTATTATATATGTCCCCTTTTCCCCCCATTGACCTCTGCTAGCCTGCCCCTGCCCCCCACCCCAGGCCTTCACCACCCCATCGTCTGTGTCCATGGGTTATGCATATATGCATACAAGTTCTTTGGTTGATCTCCTCCCACCCACACACCCTCCCCATTATATATATATTTTTTAATGTAATGATTTTTTTACAGAGAAGAAGGGAGAGGAATAAAAGTCAGAAACATCGATGAGAGAGAAGCATCGATCAGCTGCCTCCTGCACACCCCCTACCGGGGATGTGCCTGCAACTAAGGTACATGCCCTTGACTGGAATCGAACCTGGGACCCTTCAGTCCCCAGGCCGATGCTCTATCCACTGAGCCAAACCGGTCAGGGCAGGTGGTGGTTTCTTAAAGGTTGGTTGCATTGTGGCATCTGAAAACATAGCAATGAACTTTTTGTATTCTCTTACACTAAAACCTACTGGTGTATTTTGCATTTTGCTGGACCTATTACCCATTCTGTAACATCACGTATTGGTCATTTGGAAATACTGGTTCACTGAGTTGTGCAGCTCTTCCGAGTGTTGTCACATGTCCTTATACCACACCGAGAAGTCACATTTGTTACCGTCCTCGCTGATCGCACCGGGAAAGTCTGTCAACAACCGCGGCTGTGCAGATACAAGGCTTCCCAAGTTCCCATTTTCGCTTTGACATTTGAATTTTATCCTTGGCAACAAGCACTGTCAGCTGTTTTTCTGGACGTGACAGCCTCACTCTGTTCATTTTTGAGAAAATGCCTGCCAGACTCCCAAGGCTGAGTAACCCTGGTTTTGTCTGTCAGTGGTTCTTCCAAGTAAAAATAGCGTTTCGTGAAAAAGTGGCCAGCTTCGCTCAGAACTCGATGGCACAGTGCTTTCCTGGGACAGCTGTCGCACGGGGGGCAGCGGGCTGCGTGCTGCCCGTTTTGTCACACAGGGTAGTATGATGCTGTGCACGTCAGGGCTGAGATGCAATAAAATTAATACATTTTACAGCGCCATCAAGGATATTCCCAGGTTTCATTTCCCGTGTTTTATCTGTCCGTCTGTCTGTCTGTTTGCTTATTTCGCCTTCCTGGTCCCCCGCTGAGACGGCATGGCATGTACGGTGACTACGAGAACATTTGATGCCACTGGCAGAATTTCTGCTGACGGGCGCCAGCATATTTACCCACCATTACTTTTAGCCTGTAGGCCAACGCTCTATCAAATGAGCCAAACCGGTTAGGGCACCCACCATTACTTTTGCACCATTAGTGTAACACGGCACAAGGGCAAAATGATCTTAATATTATAATGCAAATTGTTTTTTTTTCCATATTGTCAGACATTTATTTAGGTGACTATTATTATTATTATTATTTTTAATTTTGTTTATTAATGCAAATTGTTTTGATCTCTTGACCTCCCGGAAAGGGTCTCAGGGGTCCCCAGGGGTTGGCGGGCAGGACTTGGACAGCCACAGCCCCAAGCTGTCCCCGTGGTGGACATTCAGTTCTTTCTAGTTTCTCCCTCTGACGATGTCCTGTGCCAGCACCTTGGACAGGGCCATCCTGTGCATCAGGAGCAGCTAGGAAAGCCCCAATAGCTCCCACAGCGGGTCAGGGTGAGGCCCAGTGAGTGGGTGGGGAGCTCTGGGCATGGCCATGTTGAGTCTTGTAGCTCCTCCCACCTTCTCCCAACAGAGCAGCGAATCCGTCACCCTTGACCTGTTGACCTACACAGATCTGGAGTCCCTGCGGAACCGCAAGATGGGGGGCCGCCCAGGTCCCTCAGCCGCGAGGTCGGCCCAGCTCAACTCCAAGCGCTACCTGATTCTCATTTACTCCGTGGAGTTCGACAGGTGGGACAAAGGACCGGCTTTAGGTCCAGGCTGGCTCGAGGTGGGCGGCTGGGAGAGGATGTGGTTAGGCCTCAGGAACCCCTGGTGCCCAGAGTAGGTAGCCATGCTGCTTTGAGCTTGCCTTTGGAATCTCCATTGTTGAGGTTTGTGTCATTTAGTATTGTGTCTGCCTACTGCACCAGCGCCTTAAACAAACAATAGTTATCACTTAGCAAGATGTCTAGGCAGGTGGTCGAAATCAACAATTCCATCAGGGACTTGGGCTCCTTATGGTTTTTTATTTGTTTGTTGTCTATGTCATCCTTAAAGCGTTGGCATTTTTTTAAAATCCTCACCCGAGGATATTTTTTCCATTGATATTTTCAGAGCGAGTGGAAGGGAGGGAGGAGCGGGAGAGAGAGAAACATTGATGTGAGAGAGCCACATCAATGGGTTGCCTCCTGCACTCACCCCAGACCTGGGCTGGGGATGGAACCTGCAGTCGAGGAACGCATCCTTGACCGGGAATCAAACCCGTGACCCTTCGGTCCAAGGACAGACTCTCTAACCACTGAACCAACCCGGCCAGGGCAACATGCTGGCATTTTGATTTCGTCTGTATCTCTTCGTGGTCACAGAGGGGCTGCTGGGCCTTCAGGCATTGCATACGTCTCCAAGCAAGAGGAAGGGGGACAAGGCTGTGCTTGCTAAATGCATCTACTGTTTTTATCAGGAAAACAAAGTGCTTCCAGAAGACTCCCAACAGACTTCCTATACTATTTGGCCAGACAGGTCATATGACCTTTCCCGTAGTATTTGGCCCTAAGTGGTCACATGAAAGGGATGCTGGGAAAATGAGTGGCTGTCTGTCTTTATAGTGGAGGCAGCAAGGGAGAAGGGAGTTGGGAATGGCAGTTGGGTTGCTGGGCACAGTGTCTACTCTGGTAATTAATAACTTCTGGATTTTCTAGTGGGAAGTTAATCTATGAGTAGCGCTTGGTGGGGCAGCTCATCAAGGTGCCCTACCTTTCTCCAGCCAAGGGGACCAGGCCAGGTTACCCAGAGTCGCCTACTATGGAATCTCAGCTACGATTGTGCTTGGCTGCAAGTGTCATGACCCAGGGGTTCCACAGTTGCTATATAAGAGGGTCTTGGGGGGCAGGGGGAGTGTGGCTGACTGGTGCAAAGGGGGCAGGGCGGGGCTGGGAGCTGTGTTTGGAACGTAAGCCTCTGGGAAGGAAGTTGTTGGAACTGTGTGTTTTTGTGCCCCAAGGCTCTCAGGGTCTGGTCATACCCTCGGGGTTCTTGGCCTCTGAGATGCCGCGGTTCTAATCCTCAGGATTCACTACCCGCTGCCCCTCCCGTACCAGGGCAAGCCGGACCCCGTGTTCCTTCAGGGCATCATCCGCTCACTGAAGGAGGAGCTGGGCCGCCTTCGAGGGCTGGACGGCCAGGACCCTCGGGACACCCGGGATTCTGAGCTCTGGCACCTGCGGGAGCAGTGAGTCTGGGAGGCATGGGCAGCTGGGGCTGTGGGCGGGGGCACATCCCATCATGCACTGCAGGGCCCTGTGCTCAGCACTGTTGGGAGGAAGGCGGTCCATCATTCACCAGATATTTCTTCTGAGCTCTCCTCTGGCCGCCTTGTGCTGGGGTCACAGTGGTGACGAGACAATCTTGGCCCTGCCCTCCTGGGACTCCCAGGCCCGTGGGGGAGACAGATCTGTGAAGACGCAGCGTGGGCAGGGTGGGGGATCCCAGAAAGGGGACCTGACCCGGCCTGGTAAGGGGTGGTATTCCAGGCAAAGGGAACAGCATGTGCAGAGACAGGGTGGGAGGAATTGCTCTATTCAGTGCTTTTGTGCTGGTCCCCTCGCTGTCCCTCCTGTGAGTGCCACCACAGGGGCAGATGGGCATGATACATACGCCCCGGAGTGTATCACTGCGAAGGGAGATGGTTAGGAAAGGGAGCCTGTGCTATGGAAGGCTGTCACAGGAACCTGACAGGGTCTTGGGGTGGGTCAGAGAAGGGGCTGGGGAAGAGCGTTCTGGGCAGAGGGAACAGCATGTGCAAAGGCCTTGTGTTAGGTGGGAATGTGGTGAGAACAGGGGGAATGAAAGAGGGAAGTGAGCAAAGGCGTTGGGCATGTTGAGTGCCTGCTGCATGCTGTGAACTGAGGGGGAGCTGAAATGGGGACTCGGTCTCTACCTGCGGGAGGCCCCACACATTGGGGGGGGGGGCTAATAGTAGTAGTAGTAATAATAATAGTAATACCAGTAGCGAATGTTTTTGAGCGTTTAACCGGGTGCCGGGGACTCCGCCCAGTGCTTCATGATTCGATCCTCACTCACAAAGGAGGCATTGCTGTCACCCTGTTTTACACAGGAGGAAGCGGAGGCCAGAGCGGCTAGAGAGCTTGCCGCAGGTCACAGTGATTAAGATGGCCAGGCCAGAACTTGAATCCAGGCAGCCAGCATCAAGGCCCTTTGGCTCCCAGCCACTGTGCACTGTTTTTTTTTGGTAATCCTCACCTGAGGACATTTTTTTCTTCCCTAGATTTTCAGAGTGAGTGGAAGGGAGGGGGAGAGACAGAGAGAAACATTCTTGTGAGAGAGACACATCCATTGGTTGCCTCCCAAACGTGTCCCCACGAACCTGCACCTGAGGTGTGTGCCCTTGACGGGAATAATGCCCTTGACCAGAAATGAACCCTCAACCCCTCAGTCCGGAGGCCTACGGTCTAACCACTGAGCCAAACCGGCGAGGGCGCCACTGTGCACTCTTGGCAGCTACTAGCCCAGGACTGAGTGCTCAGTGCCGACAGGGAGGACCGGGCCTCTCCCTCCCGGATGTGAGGGCTCAGGGCGCTGGCGAGCCCGGTGGGTCTCTGGGAGGAGCAGGCTGTGCGGGCTGGAAGCAGGATGAGCGTCACCTTCAGTTCATCAGGAGCTGCCCCCAGGCCTGGCGGGTGCCTGCGTGCGTGTTTCTCAGGATGGCCACAAGGTGGCGCCCTCGGCACTGAGATCCACGGCTTGGCAGTGGCTGCTGCTTTCCAATGGAGTTAGGGAGTTTGGGAAGACTCCAAGGTATATTCGTTCATTCATCCAATATTTAACGAGTTCGTACTGTGGGTCAGACACATCACCCAGCACTATTAATGTTTCTTTGGGCCCTTAATCAGTGCCAGACCTGGTCTAAGCACTCTTCCTAGATTCTTACAACCTTATAGGTATTTTATTGTTATTGTCCCACTTCACAGAGAGAAGTGAAACTGCCCAAGGTCACCAGCTTGGTAATAAGTGTAGCGGAGTTGGATGTAGGCAGCCTGGTCACAGAGCCCAGGTTCCTTCCCACTGGCCAGACAGCCGGTGACTGTCCTCATGGGGGGAGGATCCAGACAGAAAACAGATGATCACACTGATAAACACCAGCGGGGAAGCCAGGAAGGAAATGTACAGAGAGCCAGGAGAGCAGGGACAGACCTAGCCCGGCTGGGGGCCGGCGGCCTCCCTGGGACGTGATGTTTGAAGGATGAGTGGAGTCCTTCCACCTGGAGAAGGAGGAGGGAGCTGTATTTGCTAAGAGAAGCTTGGCTGGAGCACCGGGAGGGGAAGGTGGGAGGGCTGGGGGAGAGGATGTCTGCTGGAAGGGGCTGCATGGGAGGCTCCTTGGAGGGTTTGGGGGAGCCACAGATTTTGAGAAACATTTTATTAGGAAACATTCCAAGCACACACAGAAGTAGGCAGTAGTACAATGTGCATGTACTTGTGCCGCGGCCTCAGTGGTCACCACGTTTTGCCCCTCTTCGTTTGGTCTATGTTCCCCCGTCTCCCCTGAGAAAAAAATTCTGCCGTAAACAGTTCAATATGTGTCTTTAACATACAGGACATTTAAAATAAAAGCAGAAGCATTGTCTCACACATGTCTTCTGTAATTGGCTTGTGTGAATTAATATCCAAATATAAGTACACATTGCAGTTGTTGATGTGTTTCTTTTTTTTTTTTTATATTTTGATTTTTTACAGAGAGGAAGGGAGAGGGATAGAGAGAAACATCGATGAGAGAGAGAGACATCGATCAGCTGCCTCCTGCACACCCCTCACTGGGGATATGCCTGCAACCAAGATACATGCCCTTGGCCAGAATCGAACCTGGGACCCTTCAGTCCGCAGGCCGACGCTCTATCCACTGAGCCAAACCGGTCAGGGCGGTGTGTTTCTTAAATCTTTTAATTTATTAGTTTCCCCCCCCTTTTTCCATGCGACGTATTAGTGGGAGAAGCCAGGGTACTTGTCCTTAGAGTTTCCTACAGCCTGGATTTTGTTGATTTTATCTCCACAGTTAATGTATTGCTCTGTTTTTTGTATTTCTGGTGATGTGGTTATCAAACCTGTCAGCTAATCAGATTGAGGTTTTTGAAAGACAGCTTGGTGCTGCGTACCTGCCTCCTGCCAGGGCTGCTGGCACTGATGAGATCTGATGTTGAGAGCTGGGCTCCTCTCCTATGAGGTTCCCATCAGCCCCGCATCTCTTGGTGGTGTTTTTAAAAAAATATGTTTTATTGATTTTACAGAGAGTTAGAAACATCAATGATGAGAGAGAATCATGGATCAGCTGCCTCCTGCGTGCCCCTTATTGGGGATCAAGCCTGCAACCAAGATACATGCCCTTGATCAGAATCGAACCCAGGACCCTTCAGTCCATAGGCCGCCGCTCTAGCCACTGAGCCAAACCGGTTCATTTGCATTTCCCTAGCTACCCAGGAGGTTGAGCACTTTTTCCTGTTTAGTAGCCACTTGGGTTTCCTCTGTGTGAGTTGCCTATTCACATATCATGTCCGTTTTTTCTTCTCGTCCTCTGTTTCTCATTGCTTTCCAGGAGTTCTTAATATAGTCTGGACATAGGCCCTTTGTTAATTTTGTGTGTTTCAGAAACCCTCCTTCCCCTGGCCTTTTCACTGTCTTAATAATGTCTTTTGATACACAGAGGTTGTTCATTTTTATGTAAACTCATTTATAAATTTTTCTTTGCAGTTAGTAATTTTTATGTCTTAACTTAAAATCCTTTTCTCCCAGTGGCATGAAGACATTCTCCTTCAGTGGTCGGCAAAATACGGGCTCTTCCACAAAATACCGACTTCTGCGCATGGGCCACGAAGTTTCAGTTGCACTGTACGTGCGCGCCCGCACGTGGTATTTTGTGGAAGAGCCACACTCAAGGGGACAAGAGCCGCATGTGGCTCGTGAGCCGCGGTTTGCCGACCACGGTCCTGTGTCATCATCAGTGATTCTTTGTGTTTTGCTTTTCACACTCATGTCCACCTGGAGTCGGTGTTTGGTGAGGTGGAGGGCCTTTCCCAGTGCCGTTTATTGGAAAGTGTCCTTTCCCTCCTGCTCAGCCATTGTCGCCTTTATCACAGGTCATGTTTATACATAGCGGGGTTCTGTGCTCTGCAGGCCATCGGTTTATTTGTGTGTCCTGGTTCTAGTACCATCCTGTGCTAATTACTGTAGCGTTGTAATTAGTCTGATATGGGTAGAGCAAGTTTCTCCCTTTTGTTTTTCATTTTCAAGTTATTTTTGTTGTTGTTAATCTTCACCTGAACATATTACCCCCCTCCCCCCCACTGATTTTTAGAGAGAGTGGAAGGAAAGAGACACATTGATCGGTTGCCTCCCGTTCTTGCCCTGACTGGGGCTGGGGATCAAACCTGCAAGCCAGGAACATGCCCTTCACTGGAATTGAACCTGAAACCCTTTGGTTCATGGGCCAACACTCTAACCACTGAACACACTGGCCAGGGCTCCATATATTTTTGGCAATTTGCATTTCCATATAAATTTCAGAATCAATAGGTTTTTCAGTACAAGCACAAAAAACTTGTTGGAAATCTGATTGGCATTGCATTGAATCAATAGAACTGTTTAGGGAGAGATCTTTATAAACACTGTAGTGTGTATTTCAATCTATAAACAAGTTTCTCTCTGTTTGTCTCATTTAATGTCTCAATAATGTTGCTCCATCACACTTTAGGTGCTTTTGTTCATGGTTTCTTTACTTTAAATGTAAGTCACATTGCCTTTTGTATAATTGATATTTATATATTGATTTTATATATAGTAACCAGTCAAATGTCTTATTTGTCAGTAGATTCTTTTTGATTTTCAATGTTTACAAATGAGTTTTGCTAATTCTTTCTCAATCCTTATCTTTCGTTTATATTTCTTGCCTCATTGCACTGGCAAGGACCTCCAGCACGTTGAGAAGTAGAGATAGGTGGCATCCTTGTCTTGGTATTGGTTGCAAAGGGTAAATTCAGTATTTTGCCCCCAAAATAAGCATCTCTCTCTATACAGTGAGGCCTTGACTTACGAGTATAATTCATTCCGAGACCGAGCTCGTTAAGGAGCTCGTTAACTCAAATTACTCTATCAACTCAATGCAAAAAATCGGGGGAGAGACAGCTGGTATCTCAAAAAACTCGTTAGTCGGGACACTCGTAAGTCAAGGCTCCACTGTATTTCAGATCTTTAATTGATTTTGATCTTCAGGCCAGGTGATAACCATTGAGTTAATATATAGTTTTAGCAGCTATTGACAATCAGTGGCTAGATGGGGTTTTCATTAGGGGTTTTAAAGGGCAGTGATCTAATTCTCTAATACTTTTGTTAGTGGGGATTCATCATTAAAGAAAAGCATTCTCTCATCAACTACTTTGCTTCCCTGAGGTACATTTCCTATGGGAAAGGCATGATTAATGCTTGATTTTTATTTTACTTAATTTAACTTTTGTCAGAATCATTAGTTGGTTGCCTTACATCAGTGGTTCCCAAACTTATTTGGCCTACCGCCCCCTTTCCAGAAAAAATATTACTCAGTGCCCCCTGGAAATTAATTTTTTTAAAATTTTAATAGCAATTAAACAGAAAGATATATGTATTAATGTTTCTACCTTTTTCGTAAAATATAGTAAAGAAAGGTGTAAATTAGAAACATTGAAGTTTGAAATTATGAAACTATTTATTGAACTCAGAATAGAAAGGTAATATAAAAAAAGCTAAAACAAATGCACCTGTGGCCATCACCGCCCCCCTGGATCGCTGCAGCGCCCACCAGGGGGCGGTAGCGCCCACTTTGGGAATCACTGCCTTACATCCTCCATGGAGATCGATGAGTTTTGTCTAGTTTTTACTATCATTATGAACGCATGAATTTAAACCGAATTGATGCTGTGTTGGTTTCCTATGGCTTTCTGACAAATGACCATAAACTGTGGTTTGAGACCACAGGAATGTATTCCGCTACAGTTGTGGAGACCAGAAGCCTGAAATCACGATCATTGGGATGAGATGAAGGTGTTGGCTGGGCAGAGCTCTACAGGAGAACCCAGTTCTCGCCTCTCGCAGCTGGTGGCTGCCATCTTCCTTGGGCTTGTAGCCACTTCATGCCAATCAATCTCTGCCTGTGTAGTGGCCTTGCCTTCTCCTCTTCTAATCTCCCTCCACCTCTCTCTTATAAGGATACTTGCTGGTTATATTTAGGGCCACTTCTCTCTTATAAGGACACTTGTTGGTTATATTTAGGGCCACTTTATACTCTCATGTTAAGGTCCTTGATTTTATGCTTAGAGAGGAGAAGGGGGAGAGAGAGAGAAACATCAATTGGTTGCCTTCCGTGTGCTCCCCGCCTGGGGATTGAACACAAAACCCAGGCACATGCCTGACTGGGAATGGAACTGGCGACCTTTTGGTGCACAGGATGATGCCCCAACCAGCTGAGGCACTCAGGCCGGGCAAGGTCCTTGATTTTATTGGACCCAACGTAAGGTGACATGCATAGGTCCTAGGGGTCTGGCATGCGTGTATTTTGGGAGGCTGTTTTCTGGCGTGACAGGATGTCTTGGACTTTCTTGTGCTTTTCCAGCCTCAGAACTGGTTTAAGTAATTTTCCCAAGGAGCTGTGGTTTCTTTGAGTGGGAAATTGTTTTTAGAGATCACAGTCTGGTTATGAGGGGTGCTAATTGCCATTGGGTTGACATTACTTTTAGGCCTTGTTAGTGGGAGGAGCCTGAAAGGAGATACATTTTTAGAAAGAGAAAAATGATGTCCATGTTCACCTCTTCGATGTGTATGTCTTTTCTCATAGTGAAAATCTTAATTTCTAGTTATAGTAACATAATTATTTTCTTTATCCTAATGGCACCAATATAATTACTAGTAAGAATGAAGTTTAAGCTTTCTTTGCAGTTTTTTCCTTAGACTTATTTCCTACTTGCTAAAATAAAGTATGTGTGTGTGTGTTTTGTCACTTGACATAATTCTCCAATATGCCACTAACTGATATACAGTTAGATCTGTTTGAGCCAGTTTCTTTAAAAATGTTTAGTGACTGCTTTTATTAACATTTATTTACACAAAATATTTTCATAGTTCCAAATTCAAAACTCGCAAGGAGGGTACATTCAGAGGTCCAGCTTCTGTCCCTGTTGCCACCTCTGCCCCTCCCTATTTAAAGTTTCTGATTTGTCCTTATATATTTTTGAAAACATGAACATTATAATTTATAATTTCCCTTTTTCTTTTACACAGAGACTTACTAAAATTCCTTCTGTGCTGTTTCTAAACTTAGACCCTGACAGGCTATGGAGATCTTCCTTTTCCTTCTTAGGGTGTGTGGCGCACATTTAGTGGGCGTACCATAGACATCCAGCTAGTTCCCTGCTGGTGACATTGGGTTATGTCCACTCTCTGGTATTACAAAACGTGCTGCGAGTAGTAGCCTGTGTGCACATCTGTTTCTCAGAGGAGGACCTTGAGCGCGGTAGTGCCTGATGGTATGCATTTTAGAGGGTCCTCTGGTGAGTGAGCAGTGAGACCCGCCAAGGGCCAGAGGGAGGCTGGGACCCCGGGGTTAGGCTCTGGGGGTGCGGAGAAGGGCCGATCGGTGGTCTGTTTGGGAAGTAGAACTCAACCAGCCGTGTCCCCCGGTGGGCGGCATGGGCGTCAGGGGGCCAGTCCTTGTCACGTGGGGCAAACGGAGGAGGGGGCGATGGCACCACGGGGGCCGCTGGGCGGTGGGTTCCCATTTGCGGGGAAGGTGAAACGGTGGTGCGTGCCCACCCGGCAGGAATGGGGAGAAGGGACGCGCTCCTCGGCTCCCCCCAGCTCCGCTCCCTCTCTCCCCGCCACCCAGGGCGTCGCGCTTAGCTTCCGAGAAGCGGGAGCTGGAGGCCCAGCTGGGCCGAGCGCGCGAGGAGGCGCTGGCCGGGCGGGCGGCGCGCCAGGAGGCCGAGGCGCTGCGCGGGCTGGTGCGCGGCCTGGAGGCGGAGCTGCGGCAGGAGCGGGAGCGCGGGCCCCGCGGGTCGGGCCGCCGCGGCCAGGACTGCCGCCGCCTGGCCAAGGAGGTGAGGGGCCCGGGGGGCGGGGGCCGCCTGGCCAAGGAGGAGAGGGGGCCCGGGGGGCGGGGGCCGCCTGGCCAAGGAGGTGAGGGGGCCCGGGGGGCGGGGGCGCAGACCTGGGCCTCGGGCTGGACTCTGCGCTCCTGTCCCCTCCCTGCAGCTCGAGGAGGTGAAGGCGTCTGAGCGGAGCCTGCGCGTCCGGCTGAAGACGCTGAACAGCGAGCTGGCCGCCTACCGGAGGGGGTGAGCGGCGGGCCCGGGGCGGGTCGGGGAGGGGGCGGTCTCGGAGCGAGGTCCCGGCCTGCAGGGGGACTGGGGCGGAGCCGGCGGGGCGGGGGTTGGATGGAGGGGCAGGACGGAGAGGCTGGATGAGGGGCTGGATGGAGGGGTAGGAGGGAGGGGGGTAGGAGGGAGGGGCTGGATGGAGGGGTAGGGGGGCTACTGGGTTGCATGTGGCATACAGGACTCCAGTAGCTGGAAAAGGAGGGTGGGGTGTGAGATGGGCAGGGCTGGAGGCGGCATTCTGGAGGTGGGGTGCTGGAAGGGACCAGGGGAAGGGGCGGGGCCTGAGGGTGGGGCGTTGCCCTGCAGGTGGGAATCTGGTGGTTTCTGCAGGTTTTTATTGGGGGGGGGGGGGATAATTAGGGAGGGAAAACCAGGAGCTGTGGGAGGCTCAGGAAGGAGGGTCAGGTGAAGGGGGTCGTTAGGCTCCCGGGAAGTGACACGTGGTGTTTTGGAAGGGGCAGTGCGGCTCCGAGAGGGGCAGCGCCTGGGAGAAGGTCCTGTGGGGTCGTGTACATACGCCAGGGCAGGAATGTCTGGAATTGATGGGCCTGAAGGTTCGCAGGTGGGGAAGCCGGGGAGAGGCCTGGGCAGGAGTGGCCGTGGCCGGTGGGGAAGCCGGGAAGAGGCCTGGGCAGGAGTGGCCGTGGCCGGTGGGAAAGTGGCCGCGGGGTCCTGTGTTCCCAGGAGACGGGCTTCGCCGGTGGTGCCGCGCCCAGCCCGGGAGGACCGGGCATCGTCGTCCAGGGAGCGGTCCAGTTCGCGTGGCCGCGGCGCCGCCCGCTCTTCCTCCCGGGAGAGTGGCCGCGGGGGCCGGGGCCGAGGCCGCCCTGCCCGCACCTCACCCTCGCCCTCAGGTCTGTGCAGCCCCGCCCTGCCCGGGGGAGGAGGTGGGATGGACGAGGGGGGGAGGCAGGACCCGGTGACGCCAGCCTCCTCTCTCCACACCTCCCCCCTCCTAGGTGGTCGCTTGCCCCGTTTTGACCCCACAGCCTTCGTGAAAGCCAAGGAGAAGAAACTGCGGGAGATCAAGATGAAGTGAGCATCCTTCCCCCCTCACCGCCCTATCTCTCCCCGGACCTGCTCCTCCGGTCTGTCGGGTCTCCCACCTGTCTCCTACCTGTCACCCACCTGTCACCCGCTCCGTCTCCCCTGGCCCCGGGACCTCAGGCGGTCACCTGCCTGGCTGTGGCCCCCAGGGCGCAGCGACGCCCTCCCCCGTTGGTGGGCGCACAGGCCTGCTTCTGCTTGCGGTCCCCAGGCAGCAGCAGCGGAACCGACTGGGCAGCGGAGGAAGCGGGGACGGGCCGTCCATCTCCTGGGCTCGCCAGGCTCGCCCCCCTGCTGCCGGGACCGGCCGAGGGGACGCGGCTAACCGCTCCCGGAACCGCAGCTCCTCCGGTAACCGGGCTGGACGGGCCGCCGGGCCAGCAGGTGGGCTGGGCGGGAGGGGGTGCTGGAGGCTCACCGTGTCCTCTCCTCCTAGTGGACAGTTTCCGCAGCCGCTGCTCGTCCGCCAGCTCCTGCAGCGAGTTCGAGGATTTCTCCGAATCCCTCTCTAGAGGGTAAAACTTGGGCCTGGGGAAAGGACTGCCTCCTGGGGGAGACTGGGAGCAGTCTTGCTGGGAAATGGAGGGGTGGAGCTTTAAACGGAGGGGAGGGTGAGGGGGGAGAGGCCGAAGACCCCTCCCATCGGCCCCCATTCCTCCCTCTAGCATTCGCCGCCACCGTGGGAAGCGGCCCAGCTCCACAACCTTGAGTGGGTCCAACACGGTGAGTGGCCCCGGGGAAGGTAGGGCAGCAGGAAGCCACCAGAGCCCATGTTCCCTTCTCCCCGCGTCCTGTGTGGGGATCAGGCGCCTCTGAAGTCTCTGGACACAGTGCTTTGAGACCACTGGGTTGGAGGGAGGATGGGTGGCGAGGGGCAGAGGACACTGGTTAAGAGGCCAGCTCTGGCCACAAATCGCCCCCCACGACCTGTGTGACTCCAAGATAGGTCCTCAGTCTCTGTGCCTCAGTTTCCTTTTTTAAAGTGTATTTTTATTGATTTCAGAGAGGAAGGGAGAGGGGGAGAGAGAAACATCAGTGATGAGAGCGAGTCAGTGATCAGCTGCCTCCTGCACGCCCCCACTGGGGATCCCGGCTGAAACCCGGGCCTGTGCCCTGACCAGAATCCGTGGGGACCTCCTGGTTCATAGGTCCAGCTCAACCACTCATCCACCCAGCCACACCAGCCCCGCCTCAGTTCCTTTATCAGTTACGCGGGGATGGTAATAATACTCACTTCCGAGGATTTTGGTGAAGATACAAAGTTATAGGTGCCTAATAGGTGTCAGCTCTTATCTTTCCCGAGGTCCTTACGTTCAGAATTTCTGGTGGGATTTGGGGGGCAGGAGTAGAGGGAGAATACCTGACTCCTTTCGTGCCGCCCCCAGTTGCAGAAGTTCACCCCCATGGAACGTGGCCGTCGACCGAAGCATCTGGCCAGTTCTGGGGGCTGGGTCCCCATCAAAGGTGAGCCTGGGACTCCACATCTTCCCCTCGCATGCCCAGAGTCTGCTGGGGTGGTACCGAGGGCATTTATTGGGCCCCCGAGCTCCCTGTGGCTTCAGCCCCTCACGGTCCCCCAAACCCACGTCTGCTCTCACAGAGTACAGCTCTGACTACCAGGCAACCGACATAGCAGAAATAGACGCCCGGTTGAAGGCCTTGCAGGAATACATGAACAGACTGGACACACGGTCATGACCTTGAGAAGGAGCACTGCCCCTCCATCCCTTACCCACCAATGGGTTGGTATGGGGGGCGGGGCTGGTGTGTCCTTCCAGCCCGGCCCAGGTCCCGACCCTCCTGGTGTTCTTGGGGTCTCAGGTGTGTGAGGCCCCTATCCCTCTCACTCTCCCAGGCATTGCATGCTGGGAGAGAGGGTCTGTGTATTTTGTAAATAAACATATTTACCCTTGGGATCCCTAAGCTTATGACTGAAGGGTAGGGGTGGAGGGGGGAGATATCAGGACTGGGGGGACCTGTGTGCATTTCTGGGCATGTCTGTGACTGGGAGGCAGGTTGGGGTTCAGGCTCAGGAAAAATCTTGCACTTTAAAGCTTTGAAAGTTGGGGACCTGCGGGGTGATAGTGAGCAGCCCATCCCCAGAGGGGTCCAAGCAGAGGTCCCGCACGGGAGGTCTTTGGCTGTGTGCTGGGAGGGGGGCCTTGCAGCGTGGCTCACCGCCTGGGAGGCCCCCTGAGCTGCTGCCGGTGACATCTGGGCGGCTTGCTGCGGACCCTGCGCGCCGACCTGAGAACTCCGGGTTCTGAGCTGTGATGCTGCTCTGAGCTGGGATCTCTCGGGTGATGGTTCAGGGCTGGGGCCTCTGGGATCCGAGTACCAGCGAGGACCGCGTGCTGGGAGGTGGGCGAGAGTGGCTGAGGTCTTCGTGGGAGGGAGGCGGGGAGGGGAGGCGTGTGGCAGACACAGGAGCACAGCTGGAGTTGCACTTTTATTGGAGGGAAGGCCAGGGGCTTCTGACGGGGGGTAGAGACGGTCAGGGCCTCACTCCCTGTAGTGTGGCCACTCTTGGATGATATCGTAGAGCCGGTCGCCTGGAGAGAGCGTCTGCTGCACATCCCGGTGCCCTTTGACCTCATAGTTGGGAAGCAGAGCTCCCCGAGCCACTCCACAAGCCAGCAGACTCTTGGCCGCCCGGATGGCCCGGGGATGGGGTGACCGCTCTGTGGGGGCAGAGGCAGGATTTAAGCTGGGGTTTCCTCGAAGGGCAGAGGTAGTGAGGGCAGTGGTTCGGCTTGTGCACTCCCAGCTTTGCCCGCTAGATCCCAGAATCTGGTCTGCCACTCCCCACCAGTGACTTAACCTCTCTGTGCCTCAGTTTCCCCATCTGTGAAAGGAGAGAACAGTGGCACCTGCCACAGAGCTCTGGGACCGTAAGACGAGTTAGTGTATGTAAAGCCCTGGAATGGTGCCTGGCACAGCAGGTGCTGGCTGTCAGGATCATTGTCATTCTCCTCCTGGGTCCCTAGGCCAGTGGTCAGCAAACCCATTAGTCAATAGAGCCAAATATCAACAGTACTTCTTCAAAACAGACTCGCCCAGGCTGAAAACCGACTTCTGCGCAGGGACCACGAAGTTTCAGTCGCACTGTACGTGCGCCCGCACGTGGTATTTCGTGGAAGAGCCACACTCAAGGGGCCAAAGAGCCGCATGCGGCTCGCGAGCTGCGGTTTGCCGACCACGGCCCTAGGCCTTTGGGTCCTGCCCAACACAGTGATCTTGGCAAGCACTTCTTAGGTGGCAGGGCCTGGCCTGAGAACGTTTACATAGATTAACTAATCCTCATCCGAACCCTGTGGCTGACAGTTCTCATTATCCCAAAAGGAGGAAGTGAGACTCGGAAAAGCAGTCACTTGTCTAAAGTCACAGCGCTTGTGGGTGGCAGAGCCTCTTAACTACACACCGTGCTGTGCCCCCCGGGCCATGGCGCCCTGTCCTGACCGGCGGGACAGCCACTCACCCATGAAGTTGCCCATGAAGGTGATGCCGATGGCTCTGGGGTTCCAGGTGGGACCGCTGTGGTCTCCCTTGATCTTCCAGCCCCGGCCCTCATACACGAGCCCGTCTTCTCCAATCAGGAAGCTGTGTGAGGGGTGAAGGAGACTGAGGAATGAAGGAGGGCTTTCTGGGAGAGGACTCCCTCCTCTGCTTGCCCTGCGCCTGCTCCTGCCACTCACAACCCGCCCCCTTCTTCTCCCCAGTGGTAGTGGCCCCTAGATTGCCAAGCACAGCTCTGGATGCACCTTTTTCATCCACACAGCAGCCCTTGCGTCACTACTGCCTCATTCTATAGATAACCAGAGAGGTAAAGACACCTGCCCACAGACACACAGCCAGTCAGGGGCAGAGGCAGGATTTTCACCCAGGTCCTCATGAGCCCCACCCCCAGGATCTGAGGCCTTGCTCTCTCCTGCCTCCTGGAGGATGTGTTGAGCTCTTGATCTGCTGAGTCCTCATGTGAGGCCCCCTGATGCAGGCACTGTTGTCACCACCCCCTTGAAGCTGAGTAAGCAGATTTAGAAAGAGAGGTGATGGCCCAAAGTCATGCCCCAGAGGCCCCTGCCTCAGAAATCTCCACTGAGAAGCTCAGAGCCCTCACCCCAGCCTGCCTCCTGCTTCCTGTTGCCTGCTGGGGGTCAGAACCAGGGACTGAAGGGCGGGGCCACAACCAGACACGGACCCCGGAACCCTAGCACCTGCCTCTGAGGTTCCCAATTCTGGCAGGTCCTTAAGATTTTCTCATTCAACATGTCTTGATTGAGTGAGTCTGACCTGGCACGTTGGAATTAACTAGAAGGTCAGCGTCTTTAGAGAAGCAGAACCTGCCGCCTCAGCCCCCCATGTCGGAACTACCGGATCTCAGGAAGCCAGACTCTCAGAATCTGGCTCTTAAGAGACCAGCAATATCATAGTGGCCCTCGGGACTGGGCCAGTGCCAGCCCTGCTGTGTCCCCCGGGCCTGGCATAGGCGGTGGGTGCTGGTCGTGTGTTTGTTAGAAGGATGCCTCTGATTGAAACCTCCACCGCCACCACCAGGTGGTGCACTTGGAGCCCCAGTTTACAGGTGAAGAACTGAGGCAAAGAGAGAGAGGGGGAGAGAGAGAGAGAGAGAGAGAGAGAGAGAGAGAGAGAGAGAGAGAGAGAGAGGAGAGAGGAGAGAGAGGACGCCATGCGGAAGGAAGGAGGATTCAGAACATTTGAATCAGACTCTGAATCCCCACATCTGAGAAACAGACTTCGGAGGAACATGCTTTCCTGTGAGGTGGTCAGGCCAGAGGCCGTGGGTCAGGCTCTGGTCATTACTCCCCGGGAACGCGGAGAACCTCTATGCTGAACCTGTGAATGGTAAACTCTTGAGCTGGATGCTCTTGGAAGCTTCTAGAGTTCTCCAGGTGAGGTTCCCAGATTCCCGGGCCTCACCACAGCCCCCCCCTGAAGCCCCCCTAAGGGGGACCTGGGGGCCTGCATTTCCGTCAGGCGATTCTGGTGCTCCCCGAATCTCCGAACCTGTCGGGCTCAGCCTGTTACACTGGAACGGGCGGTGGTGGGCACGGGCCCCAGAGGCAGGTCTGATCCATCGCCACCCTGCTTCTGCCCCGGTTTCCGGGGGCTTCTTGTATCTAAGGAGGCTCCCTCCCTCCCTTGGCTCCTGCCTCCTCAGTACAGCCAGAGTCCTCAGGGAGGGGCCCTGCCACCTGGCTCCTCCCATGGCTTCCCTCATTGCCTATCACTCCTCCCAGCTACCTCCATGCCGAGCTCTGGCCTTCAGGCACCATGGGCTCACCCCCCTCCTGGCCTTCCCCTCTGCCTGCCCCTAGCTTACTACACTTCCTCAGCCCCTGCACCCAGCCCACCTCAGAGCCACCATAACAGGAAGCCGGTCCCTCAGCCTGCCCTTCAGAAGGAGCCCAGCTTCTGGGGTCCCCCACAATCACTCTTGTTCATCACTTCTACCACCATCCGAGTTCATTGTGCTGCCTGTTTCTCCCTGCCGGCCTCGAAATCCAGTCGGCTAGATTCCCACCCACCCCAGCGTTCAGCACGCGGCCCGGCGTGTGGCAGGTGCCTAACGGCATAGCCCACGGATTGGGGCCCCCGCTACATGCCAGGGGTGTCCTAAGTGCTTCGCCTGTGTGGGTTCAGTGATCAGGTGGACCTGTCCCCTGACTGCAGAGGAGGAGGCTGAGGAGGGTGACAGCCTGGCCGGGTCTCAGGCAGCCACAGCAGAGCTGGGGACCGGCACCAGCCTCCTAACACAGCAAAGCCTGGCCCTTCCTCCTGGAAGCTGAACTTGAACTTGAGCCCTTCCGCGCCTCCTAGCATCCTGTGCTGCCTGCACGCGCCCAGCCCCCTGTGGTGACGGGAGAACCGGGGAGGAAGCTGCGCAGGTGTCAGCGGGGCGGCTCCAAGACCCGGGTGGGGAGTGGGGGCTGGGGGGGTTCCGCTGTCTCCCAGGCCCCGCCACCCTCCCGCTCCCCGCACTTACTTGTAGGCCACGTCGCAGTAGCCCAGTGTCCGCGCGTGATAGTGCTGCACGTTCTGCGCTTGCTGCAGGCACGAGGCGGGGGTGTCGCAGTGACCGCCCGCCGTGTGCGACACCACCACGTAGCGCGCCGGCAGTTTCAATTCCTGGGCGCACTCGGACGCCAGGGCCCTCCACTCTCTCCGGGGCACAATGGGGCCGCAGCAGGCCTCGTCTTCTGTCGCCCCCTCCCCGAGGCCTTGGAGGGCGAGCAGGGCCCAGGCGAGCAGCGCGCAGAGCCGGGACATGGCGAGCAGGGCGCGCAGGGTCGGCTAGGAGCGCAGGGGTGCCCGGGGCTGCCTTTTATGCTGGGGCCTCAGGGCGGGGAAAGCCTTGCTTCACACCCTGGCAGGTTACAGGGACCCCGGACTCTGCTTCCTTCTCTGTCTCAGCTGCAACAGGATGCGAGTGGTTGGGCCGGAGGGAAGCGGGAAAGGGGAACCCCGGAGAAAGTCAAGGGGCCCCTCAGCTGAGAGTAGGGGCAGGGAGCGGCGCATTGGCCCCTGGGCACTTTGCCCTGTGGTTTCTGGAAGACCCAGGGCCTGGATCCTTGCCCACGTTGTCTCCTCCCCCTGGGACATTGCACACCTCTCCAGAGAGAGGCCCCAGGCCACTTCCTCTTTCCCGCAGAGACTGCAACAGGCAGCCCTTTGTTTTAGTTCTCCCACCCCCAACCCCAAGCCCAAGTCATGTAACCCTTTCAGCAAATCGCGGAGGTGAGTACTGAGAAGCCCATTTCACAGTTGAGTACACCGAGGCAGGGAGAAGGGAAGTCATGTTGGGGAGACATGGATTCAGAGCCAGGCTGCCTGCAGCTGAATTCCGGCCACATCCCAGTGTGTGGGCTCAGGCAAGTGACCTAACCTTTCTGTGCCT